CTGAAGAGCACTGAAGAATGGTTCACTCCATTTCATATTTGGAAAAATTAGGTCAGGCTGAGATTTTTAGGCTATGCCTATGTCTACATACTTTTTGAAGGAGGTTTTCTCTCACGTGCTGAATAAATATATGTTTAATTCTATGTGAAGGTGTATTAAATGGGAGACCTACAGTTAAAATGCTGTCCAGTCTTGATATTGTCTCCTTTTCTTTTGTGACATGCATCGAGTAGCCATTTGATAAATTGTTTTTTTGGTCAGTTTTTCACCTGGAAATATTTCTGCACAAAGGTTATTTTTAATGAAAGTAGTCCAATATAATGAACTCTTTCCTGGTTTATTAGTGATTTAGTCAGATGCTAAACTACAGCTAAAAAGAATAAATGTTTTTAAATTGCTGACTCTGGATGACAGGAACTCACAAATTCTGCATAGCCTTCCTGGGCCAGAATTGCCATCTTTGTGTTATGCCAACCCCTAATGCCTCAGTAGATTCATCTTCCATGAGCACTTGCACTCTCACTTTAAACACACATAAGCTTGCATGCACAGCACTCAGCTGGCAGGATTTCTTCAACTCTGTCTAGTACCACCTTGTTTTGCATGAATTGACCATAGTAATATTTACCTTCACTAGATAAACCCTACCTTGTTCCTTACGCAGCTTGAGGCTACTCCTGACATTATGGACTTCAGTCATTATCTGTTGCCTTCACAGTAAATCTTCAATTGCCTCTTCCAAAAGGAAGAGTCCTTGGATTACTTGATCATGCCTTGTACAGATGCCACTTGGCATCATCCTTGACAACCAGTCTGGGCAGTGTTTCAGTCCTGTATCCTTTCTTTAGGGGAAGAGGGTGCACGTGAAGGGTGATGGTCTTGAGCCAGTCTCCTTGAGACTTTGAATCCTCCTGCATATGTTGTATCTTGTGTTTCATACATGAGAGACCTTCTCCCTGCTGATGGCAAACACTAGGCAGTGTTGCTGTTCTTGTGAAGTAAGGCTTTCCCTGCATTCTAAGAGGTGCAGTTGGACGTTTTGTGTAACCAGGTGAACACAGGAGCTACTGCTGTGCTTCCAACCTCGGGCTATAATGCTAGAGACTAATATATTTCTTACTATGTTTAAAAGTACTGTTTAAACATCCAACAGTTGGTTTGTTTTCAGACAGGTAGAAATTCAGGTTATATTTTACACAATTACTTCAGGAAGCTTTTTGTGCTCTAGTTAGTAATCTTTAACATTCTGTTACCTCAAAGTTTAGTTGTAATCACAGAGTAGCAATCATAGCCTGTTTATTGTAATGCTAAGATAATGCCTTTATTGGCACTGGTTTGCTCTTCTTGTTTTGTATGGAAAGTCAGGATTCTTTTTTCCCCTTGCATGTAAAACTGTCTGTAGATTTTCATCTTCTGTTTTACTGTTCAAGCAGTTTGTCTCATAAATCCTTCTGTAATTCCTATCAGTCTGCCCTTCTCTTTGCTTCTCTCAGTTAGTGAATATCATTAGCAGATTTTTGTTCCTGTTAGTTCCCGTTTTCAGATCACTTACGAATAGGTCAAGCAGCATGAGTCCTAGTACAACTTGCTGTGGAAAACAATAAGCACTGCTTATCTAAAGTATTTCTTATTTAATAAATTTGATGGCCATTCCTAATGGCCATACTTTTAAAACACTATTGAAAACTTGGTATGAGTTACTGAAACTGCTTTGTAAATAATTTCAGGTTTGAATGACTATTTAGCTTATCAAAGGGTAATATTCGATTGACACTTGTTTCAGTGAATAAATGTCTTCTCAAGGAAAACAGCATTACTTACAGAGCAGCTCCTTTATTCTGCTTAAATGAACAAGTAGACCAATAGATGATTTGAGGAGTAGCTACTGAATATAAAAAAAAGTGAAGGAGAGTGACAAGGTGTGAAGACTTGCAGAGTTCATGGGGATCCTGTTTGTGCTGTAGAGCCTCTTGTCTCACTGCAAAAAAGTCACTTAGTTGTGAGAGAACGGTTCTTATTTCATCTGTGGAAGCCTAAGATTGTTTGAAATGAGCTGGAGAATGTACTGGGAAATTAAAACTGCTGCTGAAGTTTTCCAGGTACTCTGGTTTATATAATTGCCTCAGAGCTTGCATAAGAAATGTTTTAATACTATCCAGTTATTATGAAATCACTCCAAGCCACTTTTATACGAGATTTAAAATATTTCTGAAATGAACATGTGTGTTACAAGCCTAATAAAAGACTTGGGTAATGAAAGTGAAAGGAAAAAATCTGCATGTTTACTTCCTAACCCAACTGAGTTACAGGGCTGAATCTGAAATTCCTGCTGGTTTTTAGCCAGTCTCTGAGACTTTGAATCCTCCTGCATATGTTGTATCTTGTGTTTCATACATGAGAGACCTTCTCCCTGCTGATGGCAAACACTAGGCAGTGTTGCTGTTCTTGTGAAGTAAGGCTTTCCCTGCATTCTAAGAGGTGCAGTTGGACGTTTTGTGTAACCAGGTGAACACAGGAGCTACTGCTGTGCTTCCAACCTCGGGCTATAATGCTAGAGACTAATATATTTCTTACTATGTTTAAAAGTACTGTTTAAACATCCAACAGTTGTTTTGTTTTCAGACAGGTAGGTCTTTCAATTTTAAAAAGAAAGAGATAAAGAAAGAAAAAAAAAAAACGAAATCATGAGATTGGCAGGGCTGTGATGTGGACTGTTGGAAGTGTTTAGCCACAGTGTGATTTAAGAAAAAATAGCCGTCACATTGTTTTGAAAGTTCATGGGTGTAATTGCTACTTACAGCATTTTCTCGTCTTCATTGCTGGTGATCTTTTAGGTTGTCTTTGTATGTTATAGAACAAACAAAGATGGGTATGATCTTATAATCTATGCATTTATTGCACTGTTTGCTTTTTCTCTGCTTGGAATGTAACAGTGGCGGTAATTCTGAAAACTGTGAATGATAATAGAACAGTTTCAGGAAAGAATTCTTTGCAAATGTGTATACAAAAGAGGAACTAGTTGTCCTCTGAGGTAACATCAATCTTGTCACAGCCTTTTATCTAAATGCTGTAGGGAAGCCCCACTGTTTCATTCCTGATACACAGACAATGTATTAGTTTGACAGCATTTTCTTTACCCTTCTGAAAAAGGTAGAGATATTTCAAAAATTCAGAAGAGCAACGTCAGTTTCCTATGGCACTTCTTCAAATGGAGATTTGCAGGAGAATTGAAGTTAGAAATTTTCTCCATAGTTCTGCAATTCTCTCTTGTGTAAACTCACCTAATGTACTTTTGCTAATGATAGGAAAGTGTATGGTATGGGATTTTCAGACTGCAGTGTTGCCAAAGATATACACTTGGGAAGCAATGAAGTCATGTAATTGAAACCTTTGGAAATAATTAGGGAAACGGGAAAAATGAAGGTCTTTGACAGTTTGTAGTAATGTCATCTACTACAGTAGGTGGACCTAGTGCAAACTGTGTTCTGTTGTGTGAATTTTTTTTTAAAATAAGCACAGTGAAATCTGCGATTCTGCCAACGTACTTGCCAATGGATGAGTATCCAGGTAAATGACTCACCTTTTAGGTAGAAAGGTGAAGAAATACGATTTTAACAAAAGACTGTCAGCTTGAACATGAGTTTAAAGCCTATTATGAATGTGTACTATGGAGATGTATTTCCAGCCATATCTGCAGCTACAGAAGAACAACTGTAATAGCTTTTCTAGGGAAGGCCTCATTCCTGAGATCTGCACAATGGATATCTGAAGTTCTCAGTGTTCTTTCCTCAAGCCAAGCATGAAGTAGCCTTAATGCTACTAATTATAAGAGCACTGCAGCCAGGCTTTAGGGCCACTAGGTGCATTTAATATTTCTAAGCTAAAATTTAAATATTTTTTCCGGAATTCGGTAGACAAACCCATGGAAGATAAAGCTTGAATACTGTTTGAAAAAATCAGGTCTTTCATATAATCTACAAAACATTGTACCTCCTTGGGCTGTATGGAAATTCTGTATTTTTCTCAGGTGAAAGTTGCTTTGGTTTTTATGTTGCAATATTTTAACACTTCACACATGTGAACAGTGGTTGCATATCAGCATTTGTTTGAATCAGAGGCGGACTAATGTGAAGTAATCTGAACTACAAGAAGATGAAATCTCAGCATGTCAAAATAACATTTGTTACTTTATTAAGGGTTTACAGTATTACAGGGGTAATCTAATATATTAGAAACCCTACTTTCAGTTATATACAACACATGCTACATCACACATACTGTGGTAAAGATGTGATGAGGTAATAAGGGAAAAGTATGCAAACACACAAACACTCAAGTGTCATACTGGCTGACCAAAAAAATTTGTTGAACTTCTAGAGGCTTTTACTCTGCCTCTTTATGCATTGTTTAACTTGTCTTTTTTGTAGCAGTTGCTGTTTTATAATTGGGGGTATTAACAATCTGTTATAGAAATCTATCTGAGAAGAATATTAGAATTATACCAGTCTGTATTTCATAAGTGTGATTGACCTCTAAATATGAGTAAATCTATTTAATAATTTGACAGTAATGCTATAATTGTGAAATATGTTAAAAATAACTTTTTTGCTACTGATAAGTTCTCTATATAATTTTTAACTAAAGGCTAAGGCTATTAAATAGTTTATAAATTGGTATCCATCATTTGCCTGCAAAGTTGGATAGACCTTTTAATTTATATCCAGCCATTTCTGATTACAGAGGCTACATAGCAGGTAATCACTGAAGTCAGGTACAAAGTACTGTAAAAGTTGTGTGTATAATATCTTGGCTATAGAGCACATAATACCTGTTATAAATTTGGATTAATTTCCAGATGCAAGTAGCTACTTCATTTTGGTAAGTAAAATAATTTGTGTTTTTAATCTAAAATATTTGAATTAATGGTGAATTTTTATAGGAGCAGATTATCGAAATGCACATAGTGAAGGGAAAAGGCCAGATTTATCAGGACAATAATGTTTTTTCTGCTCTCAAAACAGAATTACATAGTGCTAACTGTATTCATGGTAGTTAAGAAAGATTACATAATCATCACATTAATGTACACATACCAGCTACATAGCTCAAAGGATATGATTCCTGTGTCAGATGATTGCTTATAATAACAACAATAATAATAATAATAATAATAATAAAACTCTTGCTGTACAGTTTGTAATATTTCCTGTATTTGAGAATATTTATACATAACATACAAAAATACTTAAATGTGGTGGCAATATTTTTATCATCCAACCTTAATTTACAGGGAGTAAAAACCAGGAAGCTTATCTACAGTTTTCATTTAAACTGCAAGTTCTAATACTACTAAGAGGTGTTCTGAATGTTATTATAGTTCCTGTTCTTCAGTTCTTTTTCCTGGGATAATTCTTGAAAACATAATATACAAGCCCTCATATCTTGTCAATAAATGTACAGTATCTTACATCCCTCATTTCTGAAAAGATAATTTCTGGTAATAACATCATAGCTTTATGTGATTTTTAGAACAACAAACCAAACCAAGAGAAGAGTTATTTCAGTGAAATGTGTTAGGGTTAGGTCTTATCATCATAACAACTTTCTTTAGTGAGTATGATCCTCCCCGGAATTCAGCCCAGTAAACTCCGTCCTGGTACCGACTGCGGTAGTGTCCTCCACGATACCAGACTCCATTGAGATTTGAGTGAGCACATGCATTGTACCACCAGCCTCCCTTCTGGTAATGAGCACAGTTACCTGCAAAAGAAAGCTCCAGTTCAGGCTGAGAAGTAAATGAAAAATCTTAAAGTAAGCAGGCGAAGTGCAAAACTTCGTTGTTTTGTTGGTTGGTTGTTCTGGGTTTTTTTAGTAACTGTATGTTTAACATGTAGATATCCTGTGGTACAAAGGGAAGTTAGGCTTCTTCAGGAACCAGCTAAGTAGTTAGGTTCTACAGAGAGAATCCTTCTTGTTACTTCTTGTTACTTTCTCTTGCCTGAAAATCAGCGTTACTGTCTCAAATAACCCTTCACAGCATATTTTACAGACCCTTGACTAGTGTAAAAACTTACAGTTTTGGTGGTATTATGTATAAGGGTTGACACGTCCGTTTGTACTTCATAAGGCACTAATTGACAAATCCCTTTGTGAGTGGAATTTCTTTTGTTGTTTTGTTTTTTTTTTTTAATTTGTATATACAACCATAAGTCTTTTTCCTTTTTCAAAAAACAAAAAGAGATAAAAAGCGGGGGGAGGTGGGGATGTAAAGGCAAAATTAGCAAGGCAGCAGAGAGGGACCTCCTACCTGTGTATACGTCGTGGTCCCGGTCCAGCGTGGTGAACTGTTTGCCGTTGTGCCACGTGAAGGAATCTCCCGCGTTGCCGTTGTAGCGCCCCAGTCTCAGCTTGTAGTACTCGCTCTCTGGCTCCAGCCTGAAGCTGGCATACTCAGCAAATACTTTTCGACCTGACCAATCTTCCATTGTTATGAGCAGTTTGTAGTTGCCTTGATTTGTTAACCAGTAAATGTTTTCTAATCCAAGCCAATATTCTCCATCTATATTACCAAATCCTTGCTGTAAAGGAAGCAAGAGAAGCATGTTAATATCCTGCACCTGTGTTAGTGGTAAATCCGAGTGTATTCTCAAGAAGAAAACTGCAGTAACTTGTTTTATAGAGACTTCCTCTTCTGGAAGGGTAAACACACAAGTTCTTTTTCAAGTAGGCTCTTGGCCAGTGTCTAAAATCACCCTTTAAATTAACAGTATGTTTTAGAGGGTGGAAAACATTAATCAGCTCTCTTATCCTAACCTTATATGTTTCCCAGTTCCTGAAAAAGTTGACAGAGCCATCCAGCCGTCTCTGAATGACAGTCCAGCCACCGGGGTCATGCCGTTGGTCACACCAGACCTGCATCAGCTGATTTGTATTTTCTGGTTTTACAAGATAGATGGAGCTTGTGTCATGGCCATCTTCTAATGCTTGTAGACAGTCTCTCCAGGGCCCTGTGTCAAAACAGAAAGGCTCTGCATCAAACTGCTGTTGAGCATTTCTTTAATGCAGGGCAGTATCTGGGTTGGTAGCTTTTTATACTAAATTGGTTTTATTGAATAGCAGATTTTTTTTTCCTTTTTATTAAAGGATAACTATCCACTGAGTGTTTTCAGATTAATTTATTGTAACTTTATTTCTGGAATATTTCACAATGTATTACTGATGAAGGCAGATTTAAAAAAAAAAAGGCAGCGGTACTGGTACTTTTGCCATCAAAAGTATTAAATCTTCAAAGAAACTAAGTATGAATTACTCCATAGATAAGAATTTCCTTTAGAAAACAACACAGTAAGTTTGACCTTGATTCTATCGTTGAGAAATTCAGCTTTTTAGATCCCCAAAAATGTAATTGGCACAGACATTAATAGTGGAAGCACCAACATAAATTCAGACTGTAGGTCTTACTGCTACCACCTTAGTAAACTACAAAATAACATAGAAATTAAGATTTTTTTTTTTTTTTTTAACATGGAGTGCTTGTGAGAGAAACTTTATCCAAATGAGAGGGCCCTTAATATACTTTGCATTCACAGAAATTGCAGTAAACAGTCTTGTTTTCAGAAGGAAAACAAGAAGGAGAATGCATTTTTTCCTTCAGTTCAATAAAGTCCATAAAGAGCTTATGCTTTTTGAAAGTATTTTATATTCCTGATTTTTCAGAAAATTTTCTCCAATGGTAAGACAGATTGTGTTTTAATGGGTCTAAGAAATTAAGATACAAATGATTTAGAGTCTGTGTTGATATCTGCAGGTAGACTCCCCTAGCTGCTTTGCTTCCTGAGTAGAAGAGCGAAGTCAACAAGAATCCTCAGGATTAGAGATGAGAGCCCCTGGATTGATTATCCCTGCCCACTGAAGAAATAAAGCCTTATCACATCTTCTGACTAGGAGCCTTACTGAAGCATACACTGATATCAAGAGTAATTTCTGTTTTAAATTATTTCAGTCCCATGCTTTTTCATAATTCACTGTCCAACACTAATAACAGTACTCAGCAAATGAGTTAGAAATAAATTAGTTTTATGGAAAAGATCTCAGTGTTTTGGCAATATAAGTTTTTTTGGTATTTTCAACTATTTTAATCAGCAAGTCAGTGTATAAAGAGGCAATCCAAGTCTTTGTTCTGTGGCCCATGCTGTGTTCTTGTTGCCTTGGTTATAATCAGAGACTGTACCTGGAGCTGTGCTTACAAGCCCCTTCTCAATTTTTTTTATGGCTAACTGTTTGGATTTCTGGCAGTTAAGATATGTAGATGCCATGCTCTGTCACACAGTTGCATGGCTCATTATGAGAGGAGGGAAAAAATGTTAATGAGCACCAATTAAATTGCTCTGCTATATTTTATCACAATGTGTATGTAGTGGCACTTACTAAAAAAATAAAGTCATTATTGAAGGACTCCTAAAATAGTCAAAGAGCTTTGATCTTGTCTTTGTAGAAATAAATGTACAGTAGTATTTACATCATTCTAATCTTGCAGTTTCTTTTATTGCATGTGGCAGCAGTATGATTTTTTTTTTTTTTCTGAAAGTGATTTAAGATGAACTATTAGAAGTACGTCAAAGTAGAATTTGCTACTACTTTTCCATGACAAGCGTTTTTTGGTCATAGAGTAACTTTTCAAAATTTTAACTAGGGTGCTTTCCCTTGAAAAATCGAGAACACCCTGACTTTAAGGTTGGTAGTTTTGATAAAACCATCTCTAGAGAGTCACAGAATCACTGCAAGGCTTGAATTGAAAGGGATCTTAAAGTTCATCTCATTCCACTTCCCTTCCACAGGCATAGACATCTTCCACTAGACCAGGCTGCTCCAAGCCCCAGCCAGCCTAGTCTTTGACACTTCCAGGAATGGGAAAAAAAATAACCAACAACAAAAAAAACCACAACCAGAAAACAAACAGTGTGGGACAAAGTTAATAGTGAAGCTACTGAGACTAGTAAGACTGTAGTAAGACTGTGATAAAGAGAGAATACTGGTCTACAGCTTTTTGAGAAAGGGAGGCTGTCAACACATTAACAGAAGACATTTACTATTTTTCTTGTATTTTGCTCCAGTTTTCATTGCACGGGTTGGCTGTGATCAGGTGGTTAGTACAGCCAGGAGCTTTGGCTAAGGTTGAGAACTCAAGACATAATACAGAAAGGCCTGGATAAAGTATGGGTGGATTTTTTCCACTGGCTGGGCAGTAGTGGTGACGGCTTTTGTTTGTTTTGTAGGATGTTGTTTGTGGGTGTCTTCTTGTGTGTTTTTTCTAGTTCCCTCCAAATACCAACTAAAGCATCATTTATGGCATTAATTTTAAGGAGGGGTTTTGTTTGAGATGTGCTTTGTGAATGGAGAACATTCTGGAGGATGAGGAAAAGGCATTAACTGTTTCTTGACTGAAAAGAAACGTAAGGAGAAGGAGAAGAGGATACCTGGGAAGAAGAGTTTAATTAGCTTAACTTCAGTGGTTGGAAACTTGCCTGAACAAATAAAAAGCTGCAAGTGAGAAAATGAGACAATATTATAATCAATTTGGGCAAAAGAAGCATGAAACTTCTTTTTCTGATAAGTTATGTGATCCAGAGAGAAGAAGCAGATGTGAAATCTTATCTTGGAATTGTGGACTGCCAAAGGGACCTCTTGAGATCAGTGTGAAAAACTGCTGGATAACCAGCACTTCCTCTGGGAGTTCTATGGGATTGCAAACTGGTTTGGAATTAGTTTTTTACTTTTCAAAAGCAGGAAAATGTATGAGGATAGATCAGCAAAAGTTGAAGTACCTGAAGTGCACCTGAAGTAATTTTTCTGTTCTGCTATTTGAAAGTGAATCCTCAGCTCCAGTTTAAGGGCTTGAAAGCACAAGGAGGATGTGGAGCAATTAACAAGTTTCAAAGAGTGTAAGGAAATAAAGGGGAAAAGTATTTCACTTCTAGAAAGATAGGGGAATACTGTTTCAAGCTTGAACCTACTTTGAGATTGAAGTCAAAATGTAATTATTAGAGAGGCCATGGTGTATCGCTCCAAAGGATTTGTAGTAGACCTGATTTTCTTCTGAGAATTTTTCCTTACATAGTACATTGGAATCATATTATTTCTGGCAGAAATTTTGCATGCCAAAATGCAGGCTTTGGTGCAATATCTTTGGCAATTCTGTGAAAATACTGCTTTGTAGGAAAATGTTTTAGAGACTCAGGGCTTACTTGCTTAAGTTTCTTTCCTTGTGAGTGTTTCCATGGAGAAACAATATGGAGGTCGTTTGGTTTGGTTTTTAATATGTGGCAGTTGCATTATTTGATAATCCTACAAAGTTTGTTGATGTCTTTTGGAATATTTTGCAAATAGCTATGGAACATATTGAGTGCAGTTCCCCTGCAATACTCTGTTTCAGTTAGCTCTGAGTTCAGATATCTGTGACTGTCGTTTTTCTGAGGAAGGTATGTGTTGTCCACAGAGCGAAGAATAAACCTTTCTTGTATGAAACACATACCTGAAGTGTTTTGGGTTTGTTTGGTTTTGGTTTTTTCTTTTTTTTTTTTTTTCAAATTCGGGTGAAACTGAATTCTTTACCTGTTATTTTGTTACCACGTAGATCAGTTGGTCTCTAATGTAATTTCACATCATCAAATCATGCTTGTGGCAGAACTCCTAAGACTCTTAATAAGGGCTGTATAGTATCCCCTTGCTATTCCACCACTTGCTTCCTTTTGCTCCTAGAAGTGCCCCGTATAAGGTACAGAGCAGATACTTATTCCTTTTTTAATTATACATTATCAAATGCTAGATCAACAAACTTGTAATAACTTCACACTTTTACACAAACTTCTTCAGATGTCATGAATTGTAGCAGCTCAGTCTTGAGCAAAGGTAAATAAAATTTAGATGACTTTAATAGTAAGATTTTTCTGAAAGTCCTTTATCTCATACATGTAATATAAGTGATGGATTTGTCTTGGCAAAGTAACATGAGAAAAATCTGTGGGGCTAGTATGTCTGTGTTAGACATTCAGAGTTCAATTTTTTTGCTTTCTTTCTGTGTTTCTACTACAGCATGTATGTAAAATTTGCTAGCTAAATAAATTGACTGTATTTTTGATATTGCAATTAAAATGTTGCCCACTGTGTATTAGCATAAACTAATGTAAATGTATCAATAATATTACTTACCAGATGGTTTATCAGTTGAAGTTGGAATACTAGTAACTGCAGGCATGGTTGGTAAGGTAGGTGGCAGAATCTTTAAGTTCTGATCACTTTGAATCTCATTAGTAGATATCTGGTTATTAATGCGATTATAAGTAGGAGGCTGGTACACTTTAATTGGTGGTTGTGGAGTTTGTGGCAGTGGCTTTATGGATGGCATTCTTTGACAATGTTCTTCCAGCTGGGCAATTATTATTGTCTGATTATTGGCAATTGACATCAAATGTTGATACTTGTGCTCTAAGTCTTTGTATTTGTTTGCAAGCTGCAACATGTCTGCAGTTTGGTTCAAAATCTTATTTTCAAGTTGAGAAAGTTCTAAGGCATTATCACGTTTTCGGATAATTTCATGTAATAGCTGCATGTAGAGTTGTGTGACACGAGAATTCATATTTCTGCTCTCTTTTCTTAGGAGTTTAACTTCATTAACAATTCCACCATCCACCTCTACCAGTTGCTGGAGAGTTTCTATTTGTCTCTTTTGTTTAAGAAGTTCATTGTTAAGTAACTGTAATTCTTGCTTATTTACCCTGTTTTCAAGCAGAACTTCAGGCTCCTTAGAATTAACACAAATGGCACCTGTCACTCTCTGCTGAGGTACAATAAAGGTGTAAGTGCATTTGTCCTGTGTGTCACTGGAACGTTTATATCTGTTCGTATAAATGAATTCTTGAGCCTTTTCCTTGTCATTGCCTTCAGATTCCTGTGTTTCACTTGTAGTAACACCCACAACAGTTATTAGCATTAAACAGATGAATCTTGTTGTCATCATGATCCTCTAGTTCCGGTCAAATATTCTTCTGCTCAGAACTTCCTAAAATCTGTTTTAAAATAAATGTAACAGTAAGTAACGAGGAGGAAATCAGTGTGGATTTACAAATGATAATCTCTTCGAAAACTTACAAAATAGTACATAGGAACTGTGTGTACAAATGAGGTGTTTTTGTTGTCCAGCATTAACTTCTGTTGACTAAAGTGGACATCATGGGGAGTAGTTGTATCTTTCTGTCGTCAGAACTGTAGTTGTTGGTAGTTCATCTAAAGCCTGCCAATAACCATAAGAAAGTAAGCAATAAATACAAGGAATTGAAGAGTCCTTTCTTCCAGGCAGGTACCACCAAAGTTTCCAAGATTGGCGTTTTCATTGAAATATTAATTACACTTTTCATTTATTACAGTTATAAATACAACCTTTAAATGTAAATAGAATGTAAGTTAATATGTGTATTAATGCTGCTAAAAGTTCTAAAAATGTCTAACAGTTCATTTGCAGTATTTTATAACTGTATATATATTGCAAGAGATTCAGCTTAGGTGACATGTAGCAATTTTACTTTATTCAGCAGTATTGAACCTCCATTGCTTAAAAAAAAAAAAGGAAAAATGTATTTTACATTGGTCCTTAATAACTGTAAGTTAAAAACTCTACTACTCAGATATTATAGTAAAATCTATTATTTTTCTAGACTAGTAGAATTTACAACTGGGACATTTACTGTGACTCTCACTGGAGACACTCAGCCTCGTCATCTTGCTTCAGAGTCCCTCCTTTGTAGGGGAAAAACAGCTGCACGTGTGCATGGTGGGCAGTGATGGAATCAGCTCGTAGTGTCTACTGGCATACTACAATAGTTGCCCTTTGGTGAAACTACCCTAACTTAGTTGTCCTTGCAGATTCATATTCAAGGTGGACAGCTGAGGCCTTTACAATCTTTCAACAAATAAATCAACACCAGAACTTTGCAAGCAACAGTAGACTTGGAAACACGGGCATGGCATTGTCATGCTGCCACAAATAGCCATGTCACAAACCACCCTCTTAGCTACTTGAACAGCACTTTGATGTCATGTATCTCTTAAAAATTTTTGGTGTTGATTTTCAATACTCACGTGTACATGCAACCTAGTTTGCTTAAACAAAATGAATGAAAAAGGCAGTATGGAGTTTTTTTTGGTGTATAAAGACAGACACTTTTTAACCAAGGTGGTGTTGCCATTGTTTTTCTTGGCTTGTAAAACTTTCTCATGGAATAATCATTTAGTATTTTAGTATCTATCACCTTACTGTTTGGTCATCTTTAGTACAGTAATTTTTTTTAAATTACGTGAAATGGTGATAGTAACAGCAGTGAGAAACTGGAGTGAGTGCAGCTGAGTACACCCAGCATGGATAGCTGGAGGCTGGCAGACACAATGAATGAAGAGTAGCAGAAAGAACGAGGTTTGTGTAGCCTCCAGGTGAGAAGGTAAAGAAAGACATGTTCAGCTACTTAATGGGTGTTTGTAAAGAAGATAAATTCTTTTTGGAAGTGTACAGTGAAAGTGTATGGTGGATTCAGATTACCTCAGGAAAAAAATTGAGCTTTATTAAACAATGAACTTCATTGGGTGGATGACAGAGAACTGAAGCAGTCACCCAGACAGGTGGTAGATTTTCCATTCCTGGAAATACATTTTTGAAGTTTTGATTTAGGTAAGGCTATGAGTAGTCTGATCTAATTTTTAACCTAGACTGTCTGCACTCTAAGACAAAGATAAGGTCCCATCCAATCTAAACTGTTTTATGATTCTAGGCAGCTGCTGACTTTGAAGATTTTTTTTTTTTAATTTCAAACTAATGATGGATAGCCATCCTTTCTTACTCATACTAAGAAGAGATATGGTTCATTCGTATTTTTCTTTTTTTGTGAAATAAGCCATAGATGTTTCTGTAAAAGTTTCAAACAAAGCGACCAGGACTTAAGCCTCCACAAAATTTTTGGATAAATACTTTTGCCTCAGTTTCTTATTTAGAATAAAATAATTTTCATTTTGCAAGTAGAAAGGAGTTGTGCTGTACAGAACTTCTCAAAAATCTTTCAGACATGTCAGATGAAGATCTGAAGTTTGACATGGTTTCTGTAGTAAAGCAATGCTATTTGGAGCCCTGGAAAACAGGGAATGTAAATTCACTCCAGACAGATTTAACTTGCATAATCAGCATTTGCACAGCAGGTCACACTTGGAAAACGTGGCAGTTTTCCAGGCCTCGTGTTCCTGCACAGATGACTGGTTTTGCAAATGTCTCCTGCATATAGGTGTAAAAGAGTTTTATTTCAGTGTTGGAATTTTAATATCCTTTTCCTCCCCCTCTAAACCTGTATTTATTGTGACCACTACAAAGAAACTGTTTTTTTTTCCTCAGAGTTCACTTCTGTTTGTTACAGCATCTGATATTTTTGAGTATGGCTTTGGGCAGCCCATACTTTTCTGAGCTGAAGAAAGAGCAACATCTAACAGATTTATCTCCTGATTTTAAGAACTGTGTAAGAAAATAATGGGACGGAGTTCAGCAGCCCCGTTATAACATATCATCTTCATGCTCGCCTAGTCCCACTGCCTGCCTGTGTGGGTGACCCCTCTCTAGGACGCCTATTCTAGGGTTTGACCAGTGGCTGCACACAGCAGGCACCAGTGAATGACATCAGCATAATTCGATCATGCTGAAATGTTTCTCTGTCATCATCTTGCCTGCATGTCATCTTTTCTAAGATGTTCTTCTTATAAGAAGTGTAAGGAAAGTTACATTGGTTAGAGAATGCCCCAGTACAAACAGAAACAAGAAGCATACTGTCATCAGCTGTCCTTCTTCCTGCAGTCTGTGTATGATAATTTTGTAAGTTTCTTACTGTCTGTACTTGTTTGGTTAAAAAAAAAAAAGTGTTTAGAATAAGGCCTATTTGTTGCATATAGTGAAGGACTGCATGAATAAATGGCATTCCTTCCTTTCTGCAGTTGGATTAAAATGAAGTTCACAACATGGTCATTTGAACAATTCACAATGATTAATCTTTCAGGGATAAAAAAGCTTGCTGGAATGGAGAAAATAGGGAGGGAAGCCAGAGGAACCATTTTAAGGAAGAATTTAATGCTTTTTTAATACCTTCCTCTTTGAGTAGCAGAACATTAGATTCTTAGGACATTAGGATTCCTTCCCAGGTAAGAGGAAGATCATATCTGATGTCTAGGACATTAACTTTCAGTTTTCTCCTGTGCCAGTAATTGCTGATACTCCTTGTACTTTGCTGCTGTTGCTTGCTGATCACTCGGTTCTTCCTGTTTCTCTGCGTCCCTTGCCCTCTGCCAAAGCTCTTCTGCAGTGGACCGGGAGGAAATTGTATCACTAGGACCATATTTGTTCCCAGTGCAAAATTCCACTTGGGCAGCTGCAGACTTTTTTTTCCTAAAAGTACATTTACAGGTTTGGGGCAAATTTTCTTAATTACTGGAAATACAGCATTGTCTGTCTCTTTTCCTAACTCTACGACAAAACTTTTAACACACAAGCATACCAACAAAAACCAGGTGAATGAAGCACACTTAAAAGGAAATTATTTTGATTAAACATCAGATGGAGCTTCTAATCAGACTGAAGTAATTTCATTATTTCATTTCTAGATTCTGGCTGTTCAAGACGTGTACTTGTAAAAGCACTTTTCATGGCAATTGAGTTGGGGCAAACTTGCCCTAGTGCAGATGCACCAAACCTCAGTTTTGTGTATGTCTACCCTACTTAGCAGCATATTGCATTTTTTATTCAGGCAAAATACTTTTTTCTCCTGTTTGTCTTTTGCCAGTTAAACTGCATTGGCAGCATTGTTGTGTGGCACATAATTGTAGCACCTTTATACTCCTAGCCAGCATGAGTGCTTTAGTTAAAATTTCAGCTTGTACACCAGATGTTTGCCTATCTGCACATCTGATTGGAAGTAGGTGGTTTACTCATTCATTGTTTACCCAAGTAAGGATGTTTCCATGATCTGGTGACAAAATGGGAAATAAACTTTCTGAATGTTCCAGCATTTGATTGCTTTTTCTGTCCTTTAGAGAGAAAACATAAATAAAATCTTACTTTGGCTTTGCTTTGGAACATTTTTCTGTCCTGTATTCTGTTTTGTTTATATACAGCTTTTCATTAGTCAAAATGTGTTACCTTTTGATTTTTATAAATATCTTGAAATGTATGTACTTCAATAAGATTTTAGTATTTTACAATATAAAATTATACAGATGTTTCATAACCTATAGTTTAATCACTGTCGTGATCCTGAAATTATAAAGGTAAAAAATATTTATACATGAAAAAGTATTACATTTGGCAAATGTTCATTTCTATTTTCAATCAGCTCGCCTTAAGAGGGAGCATTAAAGGTAGCAATGTCAGCACTATGGTCTTTTTGGGTTTCAGCTACTTACAGTATGCATCATATTGGATAATCCAAACTGTATACCTTTTTTCAGTATTTGTTGGTTTGGATACCATGCCTCGGAGGATCTCATTTTTACTAAAGAGACTGGTTAACTGTCTCTTACAGGTTTTACAAAATATTTTGCCTGTGGAGTTCTATGTGTAAGTGAAGGTCTGTCTCCATCAGATGAAAAATATGACTTACAATAACAATCACAGAATCATTAAGCTTATCTGAAAATGTTGCCAATAGCTCTTCAATGCTATGGCTGTTTTTTTGTTGAATGACATTTGTTCATAAAAGACACTTATCTTATTACTCTGGAAAGAAATGTGTATATGAAAGCCTGAGTGTATAGTGTCAACACTCTCACATCTAAATCTCAAGTGGTTTTGCAATGTTGAGTCTTTCAACCATTGAGAGATTGGCATTTTGTGTCTAGTTTATATACTATGTCCTTTTTATACCCATGCTTTTCAGTGTCCTGCAAAAAGTAGAGCTAAAACGGCAGGAAGACTGGTGGCTGAGCACTGAACTTTATTATGTGTTGCTTAACACTACAAATAGGTTTAAGGAGGAGAGGTTTTGATACTTAAGACATCACAAGACATCACCTGTACTACAGCATTCTGGAAAAGTACAAAAGCAAAACAATGATCTTTGTGAATCTTAACCAAGACAAATGGGAAAAATAATTGCCTGGATTTCATACCCAAATGGAAGTTTTGTGTCTTAAATTGCATTATTATGGGTTATTTCTACAGAAAAGGAACGTAACAGATCCCAGTAGCTAAAAGCAATAGAATTGCTTCTTGCTGCTGCTCTTGTATTTCTATGTATAGTAAACTGCAACAAAGCCAGAGAAACCTAAGTTTGATTGTGATGCATTGATCCATGGAAAGGCAGCTTTTGAACACGTGATCTGTGACACTCTCACTACCCTTGGAGACTCCTTTACAGAGAAGGCAATTTTCTGTGCTAAAACTCAGAAGTTCTAATGAGAGCATTTCTGGGGACTTGAGTAGCTCTTTGGATTGCAGTACACTTGAGTCTACTGCAAAGATAAGAAAAAACACTACCTGTTTGGTTTATGGAACTGATAGTGAGAACCTGGTATATGATGCAGACAGCTGCAAACTTTAACAAGTTAGAAAAGATTTTTAGTGGCTTGTATGCTGCAGCTGAGGAACCAAGGAGGCATTACTAGTTTACTGGGCTATGATAATTATTGGAAACAAGGTAATGTAGTAGGTTTCCTACGTGGCTTACTCTTAAGCAGAATGCTCAGAAGCTGTCAAAATACAATAGCATTCTCCATTTAAGTCATTGTATATCTTTGGGATAACAACTGTTGTTTTTAC